CTTTTTTGTAATTTATTTAATAAGTGGCATTAATTTGAAATATGTGTTTCTTCCGTTTTCAATTAGAATCGACACCTGAATCAAATCCGAGGGGTAGAAATCATTGTTTTCTTCCTACGGTGGGGTGTTTTGACTTTCTCTATTTTTTTATTCAGCCACATCTCCCCCCGTCCTGAGGGAACTTCCCATCTTTTTCCTTGATGAAGTCTTACCATGATCTAACCCCGCCTGATCCCGACAAATCCAGATTTATAAATAATCCAATAGCCCTCTACCCTCACATATTTCACCCTTACGCCCAAAACCGCCACAGTGAAAATATAAAAGTAATATCTCTTCACCTATCTCCCACCTCGACTCCTGCAAAATCAATCCTGTCGATTTTTAATAATAAATATCCAAATTTTATCTGTAATCAATTATTTTCTTTCATTTTCTAATATTGGTATATAAAACCGTACCAATACTAATCAGTTAATCATAAAAAATCATTTAAAAATTTCAATATGATTGAAAAAACGACTAGTTTACTCACAAATTTAAAAAAAAATCAAGACATCCTTTACCACAAACACTACACGAGCAATAAATCATATACTTTGACATATTTACTTATCTCGGTATTCGACGACTAACTGCTTTTATATTGAATTTTAAAATAGAAGCAATAAATCGTAGAATTGTAAACCAATTACTGTAAATTATATGATATTAGGGATAATAAATCTGTTTACATAAAAAATAAAATTGTAAATTTATAGAAATGTGAGGTCAAATAAATAAGGATTTTGCTATGCTGCTTGCCAGCGGATAAACGTACTACATGGGAATCGTGAGATGCGGTCTGGTGTGATGTAGGTTTCAGAAAAACATTTTCTTTATCGTGCCAACGTTTCGATCTTTATTGAGATCATCTTCAGGGCCTGGGATTTACAAACATTGAATATATAAAATATATTTTGCATTGTATAAATTCATTTTCCCACATCCAAAACGTAATTGTAATATGTAAACAATGTTTGTAAATCCCAGGCCCTGAAGATGATCTCAATAAAGATCGAAACGTTGGCACGATTAAAAAAAAATGTTTTTCTGAAACCTACGTCACACCAGACCGCATCTCACGATTTCTAAATAAATATCGATTAACGGTCACTAATCACCGCACACGTACTACATAGGGTATATTCAACCTTAAACTTTTATGATAGGCTTTATGCGTAGCTTTCTCTCCTGTTTTCACTTTCAGACCATGGTGGTTGTCTTCATTGCAGACGTTCCAAGGAGCGTTGGATGTACGGTTGATTGGAGACTTGCTGGAACGTCATGGATCGACATGAGCTTGATGGCTTATTGATTAAGTAAAGCTTAAGGTGGTCATTCACGATCGCTCCTAGCAGTCCAAACGGAGCGACGCCGTTCCAAAAACACGTCAATGGCAAAACTGAACTGGCGTGCCCGGCTGTGCCGAATATTCGACCGGTCCAAACTCCATCGCGCCATTCCAAATATCTACGGCGCGCCGACGGCATGGCGCGTTCGTGAATGGGAAAACCTGACGTGAACGGTGCAATATTGGAGCGCTGGATTGGTCGTGAATGAGAAAACCCGCGTTTTTTTGGCACAGTCTCCGTCTTTCTGTCAATGAGCAAACATCTCCGTCCTACATTCTCGAAAAGTGAAAAACTTTTCTTCTTTATTGGCAATGACATCCAATCGAGATTTTATTGTTGAGGTGATTGAATTGTACGAAAATTTACTATGTTTATGGAAAGTGGTGGACAATGATTACCACGATAGAAATAAAAGAAATTCGTCCTCAACCAGTTGGTCGACCTTTTCAAAACAAAGGATACAAATGCAACGAGAGATGCGGTATTGCTAAACCCTAAGCGCTGAGCAAAAATCGTAGTAGAGAACAAAGTTCTTCGTAGTTCATCCCTGTAGCGAGAAATCATAATGTGGCTGCCAACCTTTCATGTAGAGTGATGATTTTTCTCACGACTGTCTTTTGTTTTCTAATCAAGGGGATAACAAGCTGGAGTAAATATAAATAAGACCTTTATCTATTTTTTTGTCAGTCACGATAGCTCAAGTGGTAGAGCAGCGGCGTATTTATCCGAAGGTCATGGAGTCAAATCCCGCTCGACCTTTTTCATTTCAGCCAAAACCTTACAAAAAAGATTAATTAATTGGAAGAAGTAATTTGGCCAATAGAACACTAAATATAATGACTAAATAAGATCTTTCATCAAAATTATGTGGGTATTACGGCTTCTGTTCAGGAGCCACTTCTTACACCATTTCCTCTTCGATTTTTTGCTTTTAATATGTAAATAAACAGAAGAGTAGCACAAGAGATCGTCATCCATTTTGAGAAGGTAATTCACTGGTTGACGTTCGGACTTCGGAGCGACTGGCTGTGGAGCGGTCGTGAATGCCCCCTCAAATTTCAGGCACCTCATATGGCGCGGTTCCATTTGGAGCGATCGTGAATGGCCACCTTTACTTTCATTTGGCAATGGAGAGTACAATTTTGGGGAGCAAGTACTTATCAACGTCATACCAAGGTATTTGATGGCGGGATTTCAATATTATTGCGGTCAGCTGGTAAAGAATTGATGGTTCATGTCTTCATGTACCGAGCTTTATTTAGCTCAATACGCTTTGCTGATCATTTATGTATTCTAGAAATTGAAGTATTCCATGTCCAGATGTGATCAGCATTGGTTTTCCTAACTGCTATAATTGCTTATTCATCAGCGAACGTGCATTGGTAGTGTCCTTGTTTTCTTGAAGTGTTGGAATAGAACAGGTCTTAATACATTGCCTTGTGCCACTCCAGTTTTGATCTGATTCATTTCCGAATAAGTTTAGTGTAGTTAGCTGGAATAAAGATGGAACATAAACACATAATATTTTAAAAAATAAATTCTTGAGTTTTCCCTTTATTGCCTCCCCTATGTATAAGTGGTCACTGAATTATAAGTTGTTCTCTGTCACTTTCAATTTAATAGGGGTTTTCCGTCGTCGGAGGAAAATCGCCTTTCGACCCTTTACAATATTAAAGCCTGGCGAACATCGGGCTATATTAGTAATTTACTGCACGTGGTGTAGGTTAAAAAAGGAGGGGAACACCATTTCTACACCTACACCTCCCACAGTGCACGCCACCTTCAATTTCATTTCGGTTTTATTGGGAATAAATAGCCCGGTGAGGGGTTTCATTTTAACAAGTTCCCAGATTATTCTTCCGTGGAAATTACGATATTAAAATCACTAAAATTTTATGTCATCGATTCTGAATAAAAATTATAACCTCAATCTGGTTTTCCTATCACATAAAGCCAACATTTACAAAAAATATTATGTATATTTTTTGACCTTTTTTATTTTCCTAAGGTTTTTCTTTAATATAGGGTCAGTCCAAGAGACACGTGGTTTTTATACAGTTTAATTTAGTTCACATTTTTTCATCTACGCTTCGGGCGGTTTTTTCTTTTTCTGCCCATCAGTCTCGCCTGTCATTCCATTGCGTTATTTCTGTAAGGAAACTGTCCAATTCTCTCTTGTCAAAGGGCATTATACAATGAAAATTAAAGTGAAAACTTAAAAAAATCTATCCCGGTGCGAAGACCAAAGAAGAGTTACTTTCTTTTTTTCACAAAAAAAATTGAAATAAATTAACCTGTATAAAAACCACTTGTCTCTTGGACTAACCCTATTTTCAAGAAAATCCATTTTAAGAAAAAGGATTATATGTTGCCCATTTTACATAACAATTATAACCTCCATCTGGTTATCCTATCACATAAAACCAACATTTACAAAAAATATCATTATGTATATTTTTTGACCTTTTTTATTTTTTTAAAAGGTTTTTCTTTAATATAGGTTAGTCCAAGAGGCACGAGCTTTTTATGCAGGTTAATTTATTTCACATTTTTTCATCTACGTTGCGTTTTTTCTGTAAGAAAGCGATCCAATTGTCTCTTGACAAAGGGCATTGCAAATTAATGTGAAAACTTAAAATAACTCTATTTAATGAAGAGTTACTTTCATTTTTTCACAAAAAATGTTAAATAAATTAACCTGTATAAAAACCACCTGTCTCTTGGACTAACCCTATTTTCAAGAAAATCCATTTTAAGAAAAAGGATTATATGTTGTCCATTCTACATGACAATTATAACCTCCATCTGGTTATCCTATCACATAAAGCCAACATTTACAAAAAATATCATTATGTAAATTTTTAGACCTTTTTTCTTTTTCTTAAAAAGGTTTTTTTTAAATATAGGTTAGTCCAAGAGATACGTGGTTTTTATACAAGTTAATTTATTTCACATTTTTTCATCTACGTTTCGGGAGGTTTTTTATTTTTTTTTGCCCTTCATCAGGCGACACTAGCAGTCTCGCCTGTCATCCCATTGCGTTTTTTCTGTAAGGAAGCTATCCAATTAAAGGGCATTATACAATGAAAATTAAAGTGAAAACTTAAAAAAACTCTATCCCGGTGAGTAGACCAAAGAAGAGTTACTTTCTTTTTTTTTCACAAAAAATTTGAAATAAATTAACCTTTATAAAAACCACTTGTCTCTTGCACTAACTCTATTTTAAAGAATTTTTAGGAAAAAGGATTACATAACGTCTATTCTACATAACGTCTATTCTACATAACAATTAAAACCTCCATCTGGTTATCCTATCACATAAAGCCAACATTTACAAAAAAAATCATTATGTATAAGGTAAAATATAAGTTAAAAAAATATACATAATAATCTGCACATATGGAATCTTACAAAAATATAAATATGAAAAAAATAATAATATTATATATGTCAACAATATTCAAATACAATTAAGCCGCACAAAATATAGTTAAGCTACTTTATGAGAAACTAACTAATAGTTACACTAGTTTAAAATTATTTATTGTCAGTCAGTACTGCCAAAACATTTTTTTCAGTTCTATAGGATATTTATTTTTGTTTCAGGTCTGATGGTCGCGGAGTTTTGGGATGGGTGATGGACGGAAGGTACTAGCTTCCTGGATCTGGCTTTTGTTCTACTTCGTTCCAGCGACACCGATCTGCCCGGCCAAATGTTCCTGCAGGGACGAAGCACTCGCTGCGGCGTGCGTCGAAGCCGGACTAGAAGTCATACCGAATCTTCTCAACCCCGGTGTCGAGATCATCGACCTGTCCGGGAACCGGATATCCGGCTTTCACCACTACGCGCTCAACATTTACGCCAACCTGAAGAAGTTGGACGTCTCTTTGAACAAGATACAGACGCTGGGGTCGAAAAATTTTGAAGCCCAGGGAAAATTGGAGGTGATGAACGTGAGCAACAACCAGATAACGACATTGGGCAAAGACGCTTTCAGAGGTCTCAAATCGCTTAGGACCTTAGACCTGAGCCACAACCGCATCGACAGGGTCAAACACGGTTCTTTTAAAGACACCGCTGATCTCCAAGTCATCGATTTATCCCACAACAAATTGATCTCCTTCGAAGACCCGACAGTCTTCAGTGCGATCACATCGTTGAAATCCCTCTATCTCCATTCGAATCAAATCATAGACGTCCCAAGTGCTCTTCTGAAAAATTTGCCACACCCGTGTGTTTTAGAGACGCTTACGTTGACTGATAATCTGATAGAGGCTATCGAAGGCAAATCTTTCCCGTCCCCTTGCACTAATACGTTGAAGTATCTCAGTTTGGGTTCGAACGTAATCAAAGACATTGAAAAATCCGCGTTCAATTCTCTTTATAATCTTAAACAATTGGATTTATCTTTTAATAATCTTACTTTTATACCGACTCAGCAGCTCGCTAAATTGAATCTTCTTAGTGAATTGGACTTGAGCGGGAATACATTCTCGAGTGTGCGTCCGGTCGCTTTTCAGAGTTTATTCCAACTGAAAACACTCCGTTTGTGTAAAATGCCGTATATGGAGAGAATAGATTCGAGAGCGTTCGTAGACAACACCCGGCTGGAAGCCGTGGTGATAGACGATAACCTTCAGCTGACTAGAATCCCTACGAGGATATTCTACAGAAACTCTCAACTGCGTTACGTCTCGATGAAAAGCAATGCGCTGACCACTTTGGACGCATCGCACTTTCCGCTCGATCAGTTGAGGGTTCTCGACCTTTCCGACAACCCTCTGTACTGCAACTGTTCTCTGCACTGGCTATGGGACATGGCGCAGGTCGACAGTAAAATTATAAACGCGACGCCTGTTTCTATCAACAACGACTCCACTACGGCCAGTCCGGAGGAGATGAAACCGCAGCTCCGTGTGATCGTGACGGACCTGCGATGCGCCAATCCGGAGAGCCTCAGAGGTCATCTACTGACTGAAATACCCGAATCGACTGTGCGCTGCGAAGCCACCTGGCTGACTGTCGCCATAATCACTGGACTGGTTTTGGCCCTGTTCGCCGCCACATGCGTCGTCCTGCTCTTGTTCGGCAGTGAGAGGAAATTATGCTGGTGCAAGAAAGGAAAACAAGACAACGATCCCACAGTGGATACGAGGCGGCTAGCGGCCGGGCTCCACGCTCCCTCGGGACCTCCTCCGATTTTGATGCTCATGCCTGAAAAGCATTACAGGGACGCGATTCTCACCAATTACATGAAATCCGACGGAGACATCAAAATGGTCGAACCCTGGTTGAACGGGGAAAGCAGACAGAACGAGTACACCGTCGACATGGCACCTGCGAGGAAGAAACCGCACATAGTGTACGTCTAAACAACTACACAACTGAAACGGTTTCTAATCAAAACTGTAAATAATGCTTAATATTTTTTCATATAGTTTCTCGTTTTATAATTATGTGGTTCAAAAGCTCTCCTTGGTATTTAATGTTCTGGTGTGGAGAGCTTTTAGCAAAATTATAAAAATAGCGACTTATTTTGTAGAAAGACTTTTTTGTATCCATTTAATATATTTTTGAGAAGACTGATGGGAAATATTCATAAGTAAATAAAGCATCATAAATTTATTGATTTTTGTTTCTTCTAAATAGTTTTATATAAAACAAAACAGTTTAATTTTAGCCCAATTTTCATTGCTCTCTGTAGTTTTTTTTTAATTTAGTTTTTTATATTAGATACTAGTACTATGTTTAGCCTTTCATTTTATTATATATTATTTGGTCTAATTGATTTATTTTTAAATATATATTTTTAACTTTTAAAATTTTTTTTTGTTCTAATACAAACGTACATAATTTTACAAGAAAGAAATTTTTTGAGCCTTATGCCATCCAAGGTAGTAGGCCTTTTTATGAAATAAAAACTAAAGTAAATGAATATTAAAAAGAAAATAAGTTAAAAGAAGTATAATATATATTTTATAAAAGCCTATGAGTATAATATAAACCAACTTTTCGATGTAATTTATGTAAACGTTTATAGTTATTGTTTCGTGACGTCTTTGATAGGCATAAGATTGCAATACATGTTTAAATATATATTTCTTAAAATACAATATAACTCTTATAACATTTTTATAGGTGGTACAATAATAAAGTTAAACATTTAAATGAAAGAAAATGTGTAAATATTGTGTATAGTGTGATATACCATCATTATTATTATAAATAACAATATTACTTATTATAACTCTGAATTAAAATATATGCCCAGTCCTTTGTTCCCCAAAATGTATTTATTCCCGTTGATTTTGAAAGAAAAAAATATAAGATTTCAAAAAACTTGTTGTTTTACTTGTTTTACTGCACCTCTTTTAAAATTTCTAAGAAGAGTAATAAGAGGAATAAGTGAGAGATAGATAGACTGATAGATAAATAGAAAAAGAGTGAGACGGAGAAAACATGGAGAGACAGTGAATGAGAGGTACATAGACTGATAGATAAATAGAGAGAGAGAGAAGAAGAGAGATACGGAGGAAAAAGGAGAGACAGTGAATGAGAGGTAAATAGATTGATAGATAAATTAAGAGAAAGAAAAAGAGAGAGACTGAGAAAAAAGGAGAGACAGTGAATGAGAGGTACATAGACTGATAGATAAATAAAGAGAGAGAGAGAGAGAAGAAGAGAGATACGGAGGAAAAAGGAGAGACAGTGAATGAGAGGTAAATACATTGATACAAAAAATAAGAGAGAGAGACGGAGAAAAACGGAGAGACAATGAATGAGAGGTAAATAGATTGATAAATAAATTAAGAGAGAGAGAGAGAAGAGAAACGGAGCAAAAAGGAGAGACAGTGAATGAGAAGTAAATAGACTGATAGATAAATTGAGAGAGAGAAAAAGAGAGACGGAGGAAAAATGAGACACAGCGAATGAGAGGTAAATAGACTGAAAGAGAGAGAGAGGGGGGAGGGAGTGAGTGAGAAAAAGAGAATGAGAATGAATGAATATTTATTGTTTTATTCAATTTATTTTTTTTTTAAATGACCTTTCTTCCAATTAATACAATGAATCATCTTAAAATTATATATAACTTTTACTTTCTTAAACTAATGTAAGTATTATCAGAACAGTTTTTATCTTATAATAGAATTTTTTTTAACAAAAATGTATCTTTTTAATTATTTATTCTTTTAACATACAATAAATAGATATTTTTAAAGTTTTTTTTTAAATTTGATATCGTTCTATTTTACAATGTGTTGAAGTCGTGAGGAGTGGTCAAGGGGTAGTTTAGAAAAACACCTTTTTCTTTTTGCCGACGTTTCGACCTTTTTTCGGGCCATCTTCAGGGCTTATGGCGAGGTGCTATTCTTGTGGTGTCATATTGCTCCTCAACACTTTCACACGGAATGGTACCACACTTTATGCCCTGAAGATGACCCGAATAAAGGTCGAAACGTCGGCAAAAAAAGAAAAAAATGTAAAACGTGTTTTCCTGAACTACCCCATTCTTAAACACTCCTCACGACTTCAACAAATTATTAAACAAACGGTCACTAAGGAATACACGTTTTATTTTACTTTTATGTTTAGGGATTTTATGTGTGCATGCAAATTATTATAAAGTTGTATTACTTTTACAAATAAATGAATTATAGAACGGTTTTTTTTTTACATTTTCGCATTTGAGCTGTTATTGCTCCGTTTCTGGTATGTCTTTTGTGAAGTTGACATAACGTTCTGTATTTTTCAAATAGATGCAGAGAGAGAAATAAAGAGAAAGAAACAAAGAAATAGAGAAGAGGGAAAGAACTGGAGATAGAGTCAATTAAGAAAAAAGTGGGGAGGAAGAAATAGAGACAGGGGGAAAGAGAGGCAGGCGAAAGAGAGAGTGAGAGAGATGATATCTCTGAGAGTCGATTATTTTTACTTGTGTTTCTTTTTTGGCTTTGTCTGTGTTTATTATTATTCATTTTTGTACCACAAATCGTCAAAAAGTCGTTTTTTTTCCTTTTTTGGTAGACAACCCCGCTAGACAGGTTATCATCCAATATCTTAAAATATCTTTCAGTTGATTTTTTTTAATTTATATTATTTAAATTAATAATAAATGTATACACAATTATATTAATGCAAAAAATGTAAATAAAGTATTTCTTTTCTGTGTACTTCGTATTCAAACCCATTTTGCAAAGGCTGGAATAATAGAAATAATTATTTCTGTTATAATAACATTGAATTTGGATAAATTATATTATAATTTTTGATACAATTTTTCCCTGGTTGTTTGATTCGAAAAATGTGTGTTTTTGAAATTATCTTACGTCTGTGGCATAAGGTGGTCAAAAACTATTTGTATTAATCTTTACCAATGTTTTAACATTTCAAGAGCCTGGGTTTCCTTTTTTTGCAAGGGAAAACGAAAATGTTTAACAAAGTTAAGAGTAAAAGGTACAGGCTGAAAAAATCCTTATAGACACACGTGAGATAAATATTAAATCAGACATTACCATGATCATTGTGACTATCTAATTCAAATTCCTTCTCACGTAAAGGTTAAACCCTGGTCGTCGTAACGGTCAAGGTTCTCCGTCTTGAACTCCAAGCTGAACAGAATTACAAAGCAATTGGGCCGGTTTTTTCCCTCCGGTGCATTCCGACAAGAAAGGAATTTTCGCTTTGTGCCCCGGTATGCGGTCGAGACTGAGTCTGACGGTGGTTTACTATCCTACTTTGCCATTCTAGGTAATGGTCATAGGCTAAGTTTCCATCGGGTGGAACTTGGGACAAACTCAATATACGTTGAAGCCTCATGATCTATTAGATAGGATGGGAACCATTTCTCACTGTCCTCCTCGAAGTTGTGCCAACTTTCAATTGGTAAATTTACCTAATCCCACTTTTCGAACTATCTCCATCAGTGAATGGCGAGAGACGACGCAATAACAAGATTGGTTTATGCTTAATTCTAATGAAATTATTAAAAACCCAAGACCCTCTTCTAAATGATTATCCTCGTTTATAAAAGAAGAACAATCAAAATTATAACAAATTTAAGCAAAATTATTGATATAATAAGATTTTAGACGATTTAGGTTATAGAAGCAGCTCATGCGTACGATTTATTTTTTTTTAAATTTTGGATAAGGATTTGCGAATTTTGTAGGCTCAAATCATCACATGTATGGCACATATGTGCATACATGTTCAGAGTTGAGCTTATCCCTTCTCGCAGTCCACCGGCAATTACGGCTTTTTTAAAATTTTTGCCTGGAGAATCACCACCTCGGTGTTTTTGGTTCAGACCGCGGCTTTATCCGTCAAGATTGAGCAACGAGTGATGTCCTATGTACATTCATCACCCAAAGCATGCGTTTCATAGTTCCAAACCCATTCACACTCTCATTCATTCTTAAATGCGTTCTTTTTCATTTACTTAATGCTTTACTTAATTTGTGTGACGGAGACTTCAACACCCTCTACACAAAAACTAAATAACTAATGTAATTAAGGTTCGACTCAATAATCAACCATCAACCCTTTCACACTACCCATTCACGCTAATAAATTCTCTCCACGCAAATAGGACACAAAACAGTCATTACCATACAGGGTGTCCTTTTTAGATGACCAGGCTGAACTTCTCTTGAACCAATGACGCCATAAACAAAAAGTGTTTAATATTTTTTAAGCCTAGTTTAAATCGATTAGGCTTCGTGGTCCAATTGACCAAAAAATGGCAAAAAGGAAGGCTTGAGATGGCAAGTTGGTGTCCGAGTGGATCGAAGTCACGATAGCTCAAGTGGTAGAGCAGCGGCGTATTTAGCTGAAGGTCCTGGATTCGAATCCCGCTCGTGAAACTGACTTTTTATCTCAAACTAACTCAAAGCCTAGTTTGAAATTTTTATCTTTTTTGGAGAACAATTATACAGGGTACCTCAGGCCCAGTTCGACTTAATAATTTCAAACAGGACACTATACACCTGACAGATCGTTTTAAACGAATATTTTGCTCTGAAAACAACGGTGTAGTCGGATTTTAAATTGGTCAAAAAATGACATGGTTATGACAAAGGATTTGGAAAAAAACGCATTTCGTTTTGATCGGCAGAGGAAGGATCGGCAATAAGAGAGGAACACCAAAACATCAGAATTTGAGGTTGTAACATACAATTTTTTTACGAGGGTTTGCAACACAGCAGAAGTTATGACTACCCTCGGGGTGCCGGTGTTTTTGAAAAAAAAGCCCAATTGTAAGTATGCAGGGCCGCTGGATTCGAACCCCGGACCTTTACCTTTCAGTGATGAGCGCTGTGTCAACGCCTAAACCGTTGCGGCCACCGGCGCCCCCAAACAGAGGGTTACACTAACATTAATTTTTAGTAGATGATGGGGTTTGGTCTGCGAGTTGGCGAACTCATGTTGAAACGGCACACGGGCACTACTGGGTCTGTCTTCACTCGGGTTTTTTGTTTGAGTTATTCAAACGCGTTTCGGCATTACGCCATCTTCAGTGAAAAACTGTCTGTCATGTAGTCTGAGTATGGTTTATATAGTACTGCGTCCGTCGCTTGTCGCTGGGGGCGTTGCGTAAGGGGGCGTGGTCTCCGTGCTCGTTGGTCGGTCTTGGTGGCGGTTATTTCCAATATCAGTTATTATTTGCGCATTGTTGGTTTTTTTATTTTTCCTGTTGGTTGCGATGTTTTGTTCCTCTGAACGTTTTCGTTTTTTGTTATGAAGTGTTTTTAGTGGTGTGTGATTGTGAGTTTGTTTGTGCGTTTATAAGTTTTCCCTCTTTGAGTGTTATTTGTTTGTATATCTCGACGTTCTCCAGTATGTTTTGTTTTCGTCCTTTTTGTGCGTTGTGTATTAATCTCATGCTTGTTTCTATTGTGTTTGGTTCGTGGTTGTAGTGTATTAAGTATGTGGCGTAATTTGATTTTCCGTCATTGTCTCTGAAGGATCTAAGATGTTCTTTGAATCGATCTCTTAGTTTCCTTCCAGTCTGTCCGATGTAAGTGTATCCGCATTGTTGCAATTTTTAGAGTTAAATTTAAAAATATTTTAAACCCAAATTTTAATTATTAAAACTTCAATAAACTTTAAAGTCGATTCCTTCAGTTTAATGTCATTTTTGTTTTAAATAATTCATGT